GATAAAAAAAATTAAAATACTTTTATGCAAGTTAGTAAACAAGAGAGAAATGTAAAAGACAATTATAACAAGTAGAGATTAAAATAAAAAAAACCTGAAATACACAATTTTTAATTGTCCTGACCTGCGTATTACACTGTTTTAATAGAATGAAACAAGAAATAAAACTGAAATACTACTCAGAAATTTTTTCGTAATATTAAAGCTTCAAAATGTGAAAATTAAGAAACAAAAGTTTTTTTTTCAAGTTTTTAAGTTTGAACTAGAGAAATAATTAAAAAAGACTATATATTATACAAAATAGAAGCAAAAGATATGAAATGTCTGAAAACGCGATTTTTAATTGTCATTAGTTAGTGACTAGTTTCGTTTGCGTATTTCACTGTTTTAATCGAATGAAACATCAAAAAAGAAAACTGAACCACTTAGAAATTTGTTGTAATTTAGAAGCTGAAAAAAGAAAAATTAAGAAAAAACAATTATAAACATAGGAAAAAAATTAAAAAATGCATGAAAAAACCAAACTAATTTTGATTTTTTGAAATATGACTTTTGTTCACTTATTAAAACAGTTATGCACTTTATATCTTCTGAAAGTTGTGTCATTTCGGGAAATCAATTTCAAAGAATTTGCGTGCAAGTGTTGGAAATGAAATTCATGTAATGGATCAGGCGGTGAAAAGCAGCTTTAGCTTGTAGAGTTTTATCGTTTTATGTCGTACACGAGCTTGATTATGATTTACGCTTAGTGTTTTATGTTTACCAAAAGGCTAATAAAATGGGTTTAATGATTTGCAGGATGCATAGTGCGAAATGTGCTCTTAATATCAGCTCGGTGTTATAAAATTTACATCTTCCTGTTGGGATATTATTTCAAATATTAGCAAGGGAATACATTTGCGAATGATATATTATTTGGGTTGACTTTTATAATATCGTATTGGAGAGAAAACGCTCCCAATAAGAGTGCACTAAAGTTTACGATCTGCCGAGTGAGGTTATAGGTTTAATTTGGTTGCCCCAGAAGGTCTGCATTCGACTCTTACCGGTCAATATATCAATTCCTACGAGCTCAGCTATTTTCGATTTTACTCTATCCACAAGCGTTGAATTATTATTGGAAAAATCCCATGAAACCCAAGCGAATTAACTCGTCTTAACAAATTTGCTTTTTTCTTCTTGCTCACAGAGAATTCTGTCGTCAATCTCACACAATGACTTTTTTTTTGCTTTATGGTTGTTGAGAATGATTATCCCAATTTGTTTTTTTTAATAAAATGAAAATTACTAAATCACACCCATCATAAATAATTACAAAATATTGCAATTCACTAAATATTGCCAGAGATTAATTTTTTAAATCCAGATATGGCACAAATAAATTATCAAATATCGCATAAGCGTCAAACAATATAAATAATAAATGTTTAACAWTAATAAATTTAAATAAATAAATGTCGACAAAAATAACATAAATCTTGTATTTTAATTTAGACACAAATTCTTGCATTCTATTAATATAGAATGATAATTCAAAACCCACACGTAATTAAACAACTTGCCACTAGAGGAGTTTCCAAGAGAAATAATTAAAACTTTGTTTTTGTTTATGCACTTATGACTTAAAGTAAAATTTCATATTATTAAAAATTTTCTTAATTAACTTGTTACTGAGCAACAGTTTAATTTAACGAAGAGTCAGACAAAAACCCTTTGAAGTTGCAACTCAAAATGTTAATTGTTTACTATTTGAGATTGAAACTAATTACAGTTTTATAGACACTAAACATTTTTTAAAATAAAAATTAGAGCCACAAGACTTGTTCCGAATTCAATAATTCATAAATTTTAAACCAAATTTTTATGAAAAATCGTGGAGGCGCCGGCTTAAACATTTAAAAGCAATGTTAATAATTACAGTTTTTATTTTATTTTGAATAATTTATACATATGCAAATACCAACTAAATACAATATTTTATCTACTTGAATATTATTGCACAAATTTAATATAAAATACTCGCAATACAAAAATAATTCTGATACTGTTGACTATATTATAGTACATTACAAACGAGGTGGTAAATATGGCTTTATGTATACGATCGAGAGGCGCCAGCTCCGAGATCGGATAGAACACAAGGGGTAATGCTATTACCACCGAAGTTTGTATGCTATTTTATTCACAATCATATTATTTTCAGTCAAAAATTTGAGTAAAATAAAATTCTAACAATGTTAAGGTCCAAACGTGGTAGGCCATTCAAATGGCGTTTGATTTTTGACATTTCCGGAATGTCAAAAAAAATTGAAATAATGTGTGAATCTGTTATTAAAATTGTTGAAATGGAGCAGTCATGTACTCCCCACAGAAGTAAGAGGAATTGCTACAAAAGCAATTGAATACTAATTTAGCAAAATATTATGCGTAACTTGACTTGGTATTTTTGTAATTTTAAGGTTGGCTATCCTGAATATTACCGCCCAAGAGAAGTAATATTATTACTCCTCATGAGATTTAATGATGTGCTTCCCAACCTTTAAACGGTTAGTAATCGGCATATTACATTAGTGATTGTGAATAAAAAAATATACAGTCTGACCCAGGGGTGTGTAATCGGTTGATAACTTTTTTGTTACTTAATATTTTGACATGCCGGTTTTAACATCTAGTAGATTTATTTAAAGTACACTATTTATTGTTGTATCAACAAGAAATTACTTCCTAGGATTTTGGGGTATTCGTGAATAGGTTGCCATAAATTTGGTTAGGTTGCTTTCTGGTGACAAACAAAAGATATCGTAACTAGTGTCAAAATTTAGGTTAAGTCACCTGTCAGCTTGTATGTAAAATTCAATTAATAGTTGACAGCAGGTTGACAGAAAACGTCAACCGTCTACAACAAAGGGTAACCAACCCTAAGCATTCAAAATTACTTCTGAAAATTATAGTTACCAACAACATAAAAAACGTTATTTTCCTAAAAGTTCAAATCCTAGGTGATAATTTCTTGTTGACAAATCTGTAAAAATATTTTTATTATACAAATGTAGGATGTTGTGTACAAAGTGGGGTTTGTTTTTGAACTTGAGTCGTTGGCGTTGATAAAGTTGACTAAAAATTTTTAAGTAGTTCAAGCAATTTACGAGAATTCAATATCGAAGTTTCGTTCAGTGCAATGCAAATATAAATCAGCAATAAAACCCCTGAAATTTATTTTAATTTTAGTTTCTCTCAAGAGTTTGCATTGTTTCGTTTACCTGGTAGCTTTTAGAAAATAAACGGAATGTTTATAGACTTCCGTACAAATATCGCGTTTAAACGCTACACGACTGGTAGATTTTAACCCTAATTGAACCATTTCGTTTTATTTCATTTGTATCGGAATACAATACCGAGCAAACACTTGCTTTCCGCCCGTAAAGAATCATCGATTTATTGCTTTTAAACGTCGTTTAGGGAAATTTGTGGGACGGAAATGAAAAAGCTTTCGCTTCGAAAAGTTAATTGTTTATGGACGAAATTAATTTACAAACAAATTACACACCCTCGGTAATTCTATTATTGTTATCTCTGTGCAATATGAATTAGTCAATATTATATGACACATCTACATCTATGTTCAGGAAAATGTTACGTGATTTATTGGTTTGGGCGTTATCTGAATTAATTTGTATATCGGCCCGTTTTATATAGCTGCTCGATTACAATTGCTAAACACTGCGTTGTTACATTCTGTGATAATTTACTGCCTTTTTAACATAACGACCTCATCAAAGCAACGAAAAAGTAACCAAACGAACTCGACGCCTCGAGTTGGCTAATTTTCTTGTAACATGCAGATTTATCGACTGGTCTTGCTGTGAATTACCTCATTTCATAACTTAAAGCAAAAGTTAGTCTTCAAAATGCGAAATTAAAAAAAAAAAACTATGAATTGGTTTTTTCAACGAAAAGTAAATTTTATTGAGATAGTCAGAATTCAACACTTAACTGTTGATTTAATTGAAAGAAATAGTGCAAAACCTTTTATTATTATTTGTAAATTTCCGAATAACTACTTGTTGCACGCAATATTAGGATGCACATTTGAAACTTGATGATTCTGCGAAAGCTTATTTATTATTTTTATTTTGCAATTTTAACTTTTATTAATCTGAAAACTGTAACAAGTTATGTTTTTTGGTTTTGATTCAAAAGACTTTTTTGATTGTGATTAGGTGAAAACGTGACATGAAAGAAACTATTTTTACTGGATATACAGACGTTTGAGAGTCTCTGAAAACCGTTAAATTGAGTTTTCGATTCATATCGCATGTGCAAATGTCACGACGTTTCTACTTGTAAAATTGCTAACCCCATGTGATTGTTGTTTGCTGAAGATTTTATGAATTTCAAGCCCAAGAGGTTTCTGATTGTTTATCCACAATGAAAGCAGAGTTGTGAGGAAAACGCAATTATGCCATTTTTGTGTCTGTTTGCTTAAAAAAAAATAGTTAAAGTAAAAGTATTGTAGTTAACGATGGTGCTCCCATGATAGCGAAATATTTTTATTATTAATTGCTTTCATTAACAAACTTGTTGATTAAATAACTATCCATTATATTTAAACTTTTAATTGACTACATGCCAACATGGGGAAAGGAACGTTGGGCATTTTGTCTCTATTAAAACTAAAGGTTTACCACAAGTCTACAATTAACTATACTGTTCTAATGTTATACACTAAAGGTATGCGTAAGCACCACGATAATCATAATGTTTATTCTGAATATTTTTTGCGATGATTAATTAAACCAAACAACAAAAATTTCGTATTTGAATAATTTGATTTGCGTTAGGCCGACACTGACAGTTCGATAGAAACTCATTTTAGTATAATTATTATAGCACTGTTTTTGTTCAGTACGAAATCCAAAACAGTTTCGTACTGGGCCTCAGTACGAATGCAAAGTAGACAAAAAAAAAACATTTCTATGACAAAAATGTTTTTGTTTCAGGTACTGATCTTAAAATCTGGGTCCAAAATTCCATCCATTAGAATCAACACATATCTGCGTGGCATATTAACTTTTTCAAGAATTTTTGATGACGTGATGACCATTTAAGGTGTGTATTAAATTGTATATTTCTAAATCATATTATTTTAAACATCACATTACAAAATTTGAGTGATAAAGACCAAAATTTATTATTTTTGAAACGTTTTAAAACAGTGGCTTTAGAAAACTATTTTTTTTTCAAAATCGTCCGAAAAGTAGTTTTTTTTTGAACTTATATGTCATTAGTTAATCTCATTCACTGAATTCAACACATATCTGACTGACATATTAACATTTGTAAAATTTTTTGCTGCTGTAATGACCATTTAAGGTGTGTAACCTACATATTTATTTTAAAATTTGACTATTTTAAACTTTACATTGGAAAATTATTATTTTTAGGACGTTCTAAAACAGTAGCTTAAAATAGCTATTTATGCAACAAGTTGCTAAATGAGCGTGAGCCATTTTGCATCGTGTTTCATACAAGATTTTTTCCAGTTTGGTTGTGAAAAGCATAGGCATCAAATTCGAATTTTAAATCTGTGATTTCAATATTTTTCCAAAATCATACTAGTGTCGGAGCGTTGCTTAGAAAATAGTGTTATTTGTTTTGTAAACAGAAAAAATTGTGTTTCTGTCTTGCAAAGTAAAGTTAAAAATTAGTAATTCAGAAGATTCCGATTCAGACTTCGTAGAGATTGCAAAAGGTCTAATTTGCTACCACTTAAATTAAAGGAATTATACGACTCTACTTATAAAAACTTAGAAAAATTGTGCGATTCCAAGAAGATAAAGACGGTGTCTGAAACAGGGCATGGAAGTCAAATGTTGTGGCAGAAAACAACATACCCTTTTTGAGTAAAATCATTTTAAAATTTATGTTAAACAGCATAAAATGTTAAAATTAAATTTGTTTTACTCTAAACTCCTCCAGTTTAGGACACCCCTAAATAAAAATTTCGACATTTAATCTTTGAATTCGTTCAGGTGTTTAAAGGTTGTCAGCTGTACCAATTTTTGTAATTTTATCTATTCTGAAAAAGTGGGAAAACCCTATTAAAAGCACACTCTTTTCAGAGGGTGTAGCTCCCTTAGATAACATTTTTTGATACATGTTCATAGGAAACTTTTGTCTTAAAACTGAATATTCTATCACCTGTACAAGTTTGTAACAATAAAAACGGAACGTTCTGTATCATAAATAAGTTTGACTCCTTGATTATATTAATCACACTTTTTAAAACTAGTGATAAAATAATAATGTCACATTTTATAACTAGTGATAAAATTGAGCACATTTGACAACTAAAATGACTTATCACAATGGTTACTTTGACAACCAAATTGGAAAAAAATATTTTTTTGAAATCACATAAATTTTGGTCAAATTTGCGATTTCGGTAAAAAATTAGTATGCACCTCGGCACTAAAGTCATTTTATATTACTTAAGTGTTTTATTTGCCTCAGCTATCACCTCGACAATTGGACTTGTATATCGTTAATTTATGTTTGAAATCGTCTCTAAAGTTAACCAATTGGTCTGTAAAGAGTGGTTGGTTACACAGTGTTTCAATTTTTTAACTAATTTAAAAATGATGATTTTGGAAATTTTGGTTATTAAAAATTTAACTTTTTTTACAAATTTGTGCCAAAACAGTTTTAAAACTTTAAAAAATTTAGTCCATAGTTTTTTTATTTTCGTTTAATAAATTTAAGTGTTGCTTTCCGTCTGCTAGACTCTCGAGGGCAATGAAGAAGAGGAATCGAGCATTTTCTAATAAAACCCACTTATCGATCACATAATAAAAATAATTCACTCCTTTAAGAGCGCCAAAACAAATTTAATTTAGTGTAGCATCTTGTAAATTATCTTTTCTTTCATCTCTCGTTCGTCCTGGCAATAATAGGTAATTGCATCTAATTTAAATAATTCTAAAACCAATAATGTTGGGTATAAACGCGTTTTGTGTAAATTAGGACGAATTGATCAGTGTGCTTTTTTCATTCTAAAACCTCTCATGTTTAATATATTTCTGAAAGAAAAGAGCATCTGCGATTCAATTTGTTTTTACAGGGCACCATATAAAAATAGATGCAGCCAAATGAAAACAATATGCAAAGTCCTGCTGTTTGTAGTTCTATTTTGTGTAAGATACAGTTTTATGAATAAGTTATGCTAAAATGTATGCAAATGTTGCAGCGGTATTGTACTCTTCGTCAGCTTTTTTGCGCGATGACAATACACAAAGACGTTAGTGCTGTTGAATTACATTTACAAGAAAGTTTTTGCGCGAGCTTTAATTTGATTCAGGAGTGATATTTTTGGAATTTATGCTGTTTATCTGTCTCAACTAAAACCCAATTTGCATTTAATGGAGTTTAACCAAAGTTATCGAAAGTTGTTCAAGTTGGCTAGACTCGTACATGTTGCGTTAATTTGTTTGATGTAAATTAGTTTAAAAACTAATAACACCTCAAACACCCATTCGAAATAGTCAAGATTTGCGAAATCACTGTCCCAAGCCGCTATATTTTCAATTTGTTATCATTCCAGCGCACAAAATCCAATTCCCGGTACAATGCCAAGACGTTCGCTCTTAAAAATGATCGAAACTTGCATGGAAGAAGGCTCATAGTTGGCCTCCCGACATTATCACCATGCATACATAACACTGATAAAAGTTTTTTCATTTCGTTTTATGCCACCTACTCCGTTATCTATTTCTCTTTATAGTCGAGCATTTTAAATATACTTCTCTGAAAGAAATAGAAACGCTGAAAAAACCTAATGAAATACGTGTGCACGTCAATGCTTTTGACGGTTTTGTGCTCGCTATGCAGGAATTCAAAACTGTTTTCAGGGTAATATATGAGAATTTAAAAAATGTTGTTATTGCAAGCGAAGCTAGACTACTAAATCAAGCGTTCGGACGGGATTATTCTTTGAATTGTTCTGTTTTCAATGGGGGAATATCGAACCAACAAGATTCCTGAATGTGACACTCGTGGGACTTAAATAATTTTTAGGGTGAGTGGTAATCAGATTAATTGCAATTTCGCTTTGGCTGAGACAGGTGATCAACAGTACGATCTACTCGTATAATTGTTATCTCAAACATTTAAATTCAATAAAGGGATTATTAGGGTGAATAATTGACACAAATATCGCCTAAATTGGGGCCCCACTTTGATTAATACAGAGGTAATCCGTAATTAAATGGGCAAAGAAAATTAAAAGAGATTAAGACCAGTGATTAATATTCTTGACAACTTAATTTTTAAGCTTGGTATCTGTTATTTTTTTTTGATAATTACGTCCACATATTTAATACTAAACATAAAACTTTTACAGTTCTATTAATTAAAATATCTAGTTTTTTCACCAAAAATAAAATTTAATATTAGAATTTAAAAATAAATAGTTTTGATAACTTTTTTTTTAAAATTATTTTTAAAATTGTTACGTTTTCATCAAAACTAAAATGTGTAATCTTTGTTGATAGAACTGTACATACCTATTTATACGCACGGGTTTTGGCATCTCTGATTTAAAAAAAAAAATCAAACCGTTTTTGAGATTGTATGACTTTTTGAAAAAGTGTGAAAAATAAGTCAGGTTAGACGTTTTTTTTAATTGATTTAGGAAAATAATAATTATTGCTGATGACAGATAATGAAATATCTTTTGTTTACATCGTCCTATTCGATTGAGGAGTTTTTAACTGCTAGTCATGATGATGTTGATGATATTGTTAGAATGATGTAATCTGGTGGTGTATGTGACGTGTTTCGATATTTTTTACTAAAAGTTTATTTGATAAGAAAAATTTTGAATAAAACTGTCTAATTTAGCCAATTTTTCGCAAAATTATGAACACTTCAATAAGAAGAAACGTAATTTTACAAAATGTTAGGAATACTACAAAAAAGGTTTGATAAAAAAAGTTGAAAAAAATAGAAAGGTTACTCTCGACCAGTATTAAAAGAAAAAAAATGGAGATTTTAAGACTGAATGATATACGATTTGGTGGAGAATAGATATAAACCAGAGCTAAACAAAAACGTAATTGTGTTTGAGAATATTTTTTTTTTATTTTTGAGTTATTGTGTTTTTTAAATCACATTTTATATTATTAAATAAAATGACAGTTGCAATTCTTAGATCATAAATTTTGTAAAAAAGGAGTTTCCATTAAAAAAGGAGTTTCCAAAAAGGAGTGGGTTTCCATTAAAAAAAAATTTGCAGAACTCAAAAACAAAACAAATTAAAAAAAATGTTATTAAATTTTTGATAAAATGTCATATTTTTGTAGTAGTTCATCAATAAGTTTTTTAAGTTTAAGGAAAAAACGTGTGGATCTTACTTTTTTCCTGGTATAGTTTATTTAACACCAATATGAAAAATTTTCAAAAATGCAAAATCCTAGTTATGGAATATTTTATTCCAAAAAAAAATTGTAAATAGTATATTAAGTATTAAGAAGGGTAAGGACATTTTACCGATTGAAGACAATTGTCTGAGAGCGGTAGTTCTTAACGTTGGTCATGTTTATAACGTTTTTTCCACGATAGAAACATTTTTACATTGATCTAAATAAATTATTTGAATAAAAATGCCAATTGTGTCATTCCATTTTTACCTAAAGTGTCGCCACGGTGTTTTACGAATTGTTATAAATTGAATGAATTATTGTTAACAATAGTTGAGGTTCATGTTGCCTATACGAAAGCTTGTTGATAATTTGAAAAAAATACACCTTTGAAAAAACAGTTTAGAACATTTCATGAGTTTTCTCAAGAAAAATGTGTTATTCAGAATCCCCCGGTGTAGACAGTGAAATCAAACAAGCTTGGAAGTGGGACATTAGTTGTTCATCACTAATTCCTGAAAAATCAAGATTTCGCTATAAAAATGCCTATAAAATCTTTAAAAGCTGGTGTGAGGAAACAATTAGTGAAATTAGTGAAAAAAACCTATTGAAGACGCCGGAGGATTCACGTCGCATTCAGCAACAATTTCTGTTAGCGCTACTAACAAAGAAGCCAGCGGAATTCGTAATTGTAGTAGTTGTACGTTTAATTTTAATATAAAATATATTGTTGGGACTATATTGTTTATAATAATATTTATGCTATCAATAAATGTTTTGTGTATTTTATCTGATTAATGTTTGAAATTACTTACCGTTCCAAAATGGTAAGTAAATTACTTACCGTTCTGTTTATCATAGAAACCAGTAAATACAAAACAAACGCGGTAACTAACTAAAAGCGTTCTATAGTGCAAAAAATAATAAAAAGTACAATTATGACTTTTTGAAAATTGCACAATTTGATCACTCTGTTTAAGGAAAACAATTGAAAATTATGTCAAACAATAGCGCAAACGTTTTTTACCAACATTTTTCTTTTCATGCAACACCGAATAAAGTGCCACTTATATTCCCACGGGAAAAAATACCGATTTTTACTTTTGCAATATCACTTTTTTCATGAATATTTTGTGCATGGAAGAGTTTAAGTCGTGTATTTTTAAAATCTAGCATAAAAATACAAAAATGGGCTGATTACGGGTCTGGAGTACTAGAAACCCATACTTTTGTGAATTTGTAAAATGCAAATTCGTGTTTTGCGAAAATTTTATGTTTATATTTTGTCGGCTAGAAATCAAGTTAGACGTTATTTTACGTTTTAGAATTCACTGGAAGTACATTTTTCAAGTATGTTTATGCACTTGTAAAATGTAAATTCGGTTTTATCTCGTCGTTGCCAGCGTGAATGTATTTGTGACGAAGCCCGCCTCGCAACACCTTGTTTTCAACCAACTAGGAAAACTTTTTCTAATTGCACAAAACTCAATGCTTTGCCAATAAATATTCGCATGTTCTGTGTGTTATTTATTTTCAAGCACACATTTGTCAAGAAAATCAAATCAGAAATTCCCCAATGTTTTGTTTCCAGTGCAGCAAGTTGATTTATTTGCAGTTTGCTCGCTTCTAATGATGGAAACGGCACATCAAAAATGTATTTTCCGCTATGGATCGACTGATGCGAACGGAATTATCCGAAGGCATTAATTTGTGATGGCGTGAAAAACAACGAAACGTGATTCTGGTTGAGCTGCCTTCGGGGGCTCCGACGATATATGAAACGGAAGCAAAATGGCGGGGACCACAAAACACTGAATCATATAGAAAATAACGCGTTTGTGTGTTGATGAAAGGAACAACTCGACTGTGATGAGCTTATCGCCGATTTCTTCTCACATACACAGTGTTTGCAAAAAATTAACTAGACCCATATATATCCTTGTTTGGAATCAGTCAGTTTAACAATGCAATCGATAAGTTTCCGGAATTGTATTCAAAGTTTTGATACTGTTCCGAGAAGTTGCCATCTAATTGGATTCTATTTTTCAGGTGAAGGCGAACTTTGCAGAGTAAATAATGTTGCGATGTTGGCTGAAGGAAACTTTTAATTGTTGCCGATTGAACTGATGATGTCAGTTATGACTTCAGTTTGGACGCAAAACTGGCAAGGTTAATTTAAGGTAAGCTTAAAACAATTACACTACCCACCACAACTAACTGGACAACTAAAATTTTGCGATTTTTTACTTTGCAATATTTTTGTTTATTCTTTGCCGGATTTTGATGAATTTTCTAGTTTTCTAGTTTTTGGTTTTGTCTTGTAAATGTAATACCTAAAAGACGAAAGCACTGTTTTTTTTACTGTTTTTTATACTGAGCTGTGGTGTGCGGTAGAGACAAACTTAAGTTTTTTTCTGATTTCAAATTATTGCCCGTTCTTTTCTAAGTTATGTATACCATATTTTCCATAATTTTAGTTTTTGAGATATAAACCTTCAAAAAAAGCATTACATTCCTGATTTCAATAAATGTTCGTATTAAGTAGGCCGAATGTGCCAAAATAGCATGGAAGCTTCAAATAAATAATCGTTTTGCTTGTTGTAATCCTTTTAAGTTCCAAATTTTTCAGATTTTTTGTGTTTAATGACGTAATTGTGCTCTTTTGGTGACATAAGCAATAATTTTCGATTTAACTACCTTTTTATGTAGCCTGCTTTCTGGACGAATATTTAGAAACATTAGAAAACCAACGTCTTTTTTTAATGCTTTGTATCTCTGGGGCACCAGAAGATAAAATTTTGAAACAAATTGGTCTAATTCAGAAAAGAACGGACAATAATCTGAAATCAGAAGAAACTTAAGTTTGTCTCTGCCCCACACCACAACTCAGTATAAAAACACAGTAAAAAAAAATATTGCAATGTGAAAAATCGCAAAATTTTAGTTGTCCAGTTAATTTTGGCGGGCAGTGTATTTTATTTTTGATTGAGTTTTTTTTATTCTCTTTTATTGTGAAATATCCGTTTTCGAAAAAACAATCAACATTTATTATTTTGCAAAAATCTCACAAAGTTTACAAAGGAGACTTCACAAACTCTATATTGACAAAAAAACTAAGGTGTTATACAGGTGCGCCAGAACGAGAAAAATGCCATATAAGGATCATGGAAAAAATATTTAAAAAAAAATATCTATATAAATTTCTAAGTTATGACGGTTTAAATTTTGCACTTTGACTCTATTTATTTCTGTTGGAAAAATAATTTTCCATGTTTTTTGCTATAGGCCATTGAAAGAGGAAACAGGGAAGGTGTATCCTAAATTGTAACTCTGTTCAGTGTTATTTGTGGCTTTTTTTATTGGCAAAATTTTTGTACCTTTATTTAATAATTGTAAAAAAACATATACAAGATCATCAGTATCATTAAATACACATAAAAAAAAATGTCAAATGTCAAAAAATAAATGTCAAATTTTTTGACAGATAGAATTTAAAAACATTAAACATTTTTTTTATGTTCTTGGTATCTTACCTTATTTGAAATTTTTCTCCGGGGCGCGAGTTCTAGCGCAACCAGTGTTTGAAAAAGTTGAGTTATTGCCATTTGTAATTTGTCATTTAAAAAAAAAATGTAGTAGGCTATGAAACATCGACTCTGAGTTCGTCTTTAGCTCAAAAGAAATCGACTTGGAAAAAGTTGGTTAAGTTATTTTAAATGGTTCTGAAGTTATGATTTTTTGGTGCACGACTTTATTTTGCACATAAATTGATATAAGTTAGTTAAAAATTATTACATGTATGTAATTCTAAGAACTCGAATGAGTTATATCGATAATTTAGTGACGAATCGAAAAATATAACAAAAATTTGGGGTTTTTATTAAAAAAAAAAAAAAAAAACAGAACTTAGATTGTAAAATATTTTAGGAGTATGGATTAAAAGAAACAAAAAAGTTTTAATAAACAAAGTAACTGTTTCGGAGATATGGAATATGAAAATTTTTAGAATTTAAACTGAAATTTTCTCTTTTTTGTTGAAACAGATTGCAAATAAATGTTTTAAAAAACGAATAATTTTCGATATCTCCGAAACCGTTATTTTGCGGACCCATGTTTATTAAGACATTTTCATTTCTGTGATGTTTTACATCGTAATAAGTATTATGTTACAAAAAATACATATTAAACATTACACCAAAATTCTAAAAACATTAAAAATATGTAAGAATTAAAAAAGAATAAGAAAAATAGCATAAAAGTAGTACAACATGAAGTAAGACATATAAACAAAAAAATAAAATTTGAAATTGTCACGTATATCTTCCGAATTTCTTTATCTTTTTCATTATCTTTACTTTCTTCAGATTTTTTCGACATTTGTAGTTTTTTTGTGATTTTCTTGTTTTACGTTTCTTTTCTTGTATCGTTTTTATTTTTTGTTTTCTAAATTTTTTTGTTATATGTTTTCCCAATTGTTAAATTACTATTTCAGGTTTCAGGTCAACCACTGTTTCTTTGTTTCGTATATAAATAATAAGTTTCCTCTTTATTTTTTGTGTTGCCAGATTGGTTTGCTTTTTTTGTTATGCCATGACAAATTTTTTATTCTCCGTATATTATTCTCAAATTTCACATCATTATTTTTTATTTTTATTAAAATAATTTGTCTCATTTATTTCAGATTAAGTTTTCATGTTTTTATTTAATCCAAAACACTTCAAGTGGACTCAAAATTGGTAAAGTCGGTAGCAAAACAAATGAAACGACGTTTTTTTTATTTAAAAATATTAGTTCTTAATCACAGTAGTTACAATAGACCAAAATACTACTAAAATATTTCAAGTGGAGGTAAATCCGTTCTTGTTAGTGTCAAAATTAAAAAAAACACGAATTTTTCGTTTTTTTTTTTAAGATAATAATATACCAAATAATAATGGTACTAATCTACTAATCATAGGTGGTAATGTACGCAAAACATTACAGGGGATTTCAAGTGAACTAAAATCAGGTTACTTTGGTGTCAAAATTACACAAAAGTATCTATTTTTGTGTTTTACATTGTAATAGGGGAATAAAATACACATTACATACCAGACCATTATTCTTAAAACTTTAAAAAACTGTAAGTATATTAAAAAAGCAAAAGAGCTTAACAAAATTCGGTACGTAATATGTAAAACGTATGACCAAAAAAGAATAAAATTTATGAAATTGTCAATTAAATCTTCTTTCCTTGATCATAATCTTCATTTTCTTTAGTTTTTTTTCGACATCCTCAGTTTTATATTTGATCTTCTCGTTTTTATTCTTTTGTTTTTTAAATTGTTTATTTAAATTTTTTTTCAATCTAAAATCGTTACTTTGCGGACCCATGTTTATTAAAACTTTTTTGTTTTTGTTTGTTTTACTCCATACTATTACCTCCTAAAATATTTTACAATTTTTTTTCACACCTTTTCTTTCATACCGTTAAAAAATCAAGTCGACAGCTTGGATAGAAAAAAAGTTGGAGCTTGCACGTATTTCTGGGTCACTCTGTATATTTACAAGGCAATTCACGAGGAGTTGAGCCTGACCAAATTCTCGATGCAACCACCATTACTTTTCGCAAGTTATTTTGCGACAACTGTAATGTTGGTTGCATCGAGAATTTGGTCAAGCTCCTCGTGAATCACCCTGTATATGGTTTTACACTAACTGATATTGGTAGACATGCAAAACAAACATTTGTCCCAATGTCCTCAAACTAATTTCAACGCATTCTCATAATCAATTTGTTTCTCATAATCAATTTATTTCTCATAAAAAAATTATTTGACCACAAATCTTATCAAAGCATAATGAGTTCAACAACTTTAATTTTTCTATTTTGTTCCCGATTATGAAAATGCATGAAATTACTAGTTTGGATTAAATCAGAAGACAACCGAGAAAGCGTAAATTGATTAGAGAGACAAACACAATTGGAAGTTTTAATAAAACCTTGCAACTTTTCCCCGAGTTTTTCTTTTTTCGAGGCGGTTTTCGTGCTCATTTTTAATTTCAAGTTATGACAAAGTGCAAACTCACAATCTGGTTTGTTTATTGTTTTCGTGATATTTAAATCAAGCTATCAAGTTTTATAATTGAATAAAAAACCAAAAGTTAATAAGTAATTGAATCGAAGGAAAAGAGACGTCTTAAGGAAACAAGTGTGTGACATTTATGGCTGCGAAAGTCGTAAAAAGCCGAAGGTAATTGGGAACGGTGTTAAACGTGCTATAATGTTTGCGTAAAAGGAAATCTCATTAGGCCGACACTAACATTTTGGACAAATTTTCATCCAGTGAATTTATCACAGAATTGCATCGCTTTGGGAAGTTTTTCAAATGGATTTACTTTAAATTAAATTATAATTTTACGCTCACGTTTTAAATTGAGCTGTCACAACAATCCAGTTGAATCTTTTGCTTCTGCTTATTCTTTTTTCTGATATTTTTTAAATGTCTCTAGTTTAACAAAATTTATTCTGTGTGAAAGTGCCACGTTTTTTAAACCGTTAAAATAAAGATAAAATAAAGCTAGAGTAAAGAGGCAGTTCGAACTCGCAATGGTCTAATTTAAATAAAATGACTGTGCAAATGAAAGCTTGCACTCGTTTTGGAAGTTTCGCTGTAACACATTGTGCTGATAAAGGTCTGTCCTCTTATCTCTTTCATTTCGTGCATGCAAATTAGAACTTTTTCACAACTTGTAAAAAATTAATCTTTGTAAGGGGATGAGGCACTAAAACTACACTGAACACAAAATCCAAGTTTAATTACGATGTTTTAAGCAAAATTTTCGAGAAAATTTGAATTCTAGTTAAATAATTTTTTAATTGTGATTAATTTTAACCCGGGCCCAAGCCAATGATTAATGCTCTTTGTCAGTAACATATTTACATACTGCTTGCCCCATTTGCAGTCGTTAATATTTTATGGTATTTTTGCACAGTTTGTGTGCCGGGTGCATGACGGCTATAAATTGACATAAATATTTATAACATAATGTTGAGAATTAGAGAAAGCAGCTGGTTTGTAACGAATCAGTTTGTTTCAAACGTCGACAAATATCTCCATATTTCATGAAAACTTTGGGAAAACAACAAGAATAATCAAATTGTAACACTACCCCAAAAGTGCTATATAAATATTTTAAT